CGCGAGACCCGCGGGGCCTGCGAGACCTGCGCGACCTGCGAAGCCATGGGGACCCGTGGGACCTGCAAGGCGTTGCCCAACAAACCGCGTTGACGATCCGGCGGGGGGGGGCGGGTTCCACTATGGAAATTCACACACGGGGCGCAGTTTAGGCCGCCCGGCAATCCCACTTCACGATCGGGCGGGCGCGGGTTGATTAAATTCACACACAGAATGCACTTCGCGCAAAGTGGCGCGCCCCGGCGCGCCCACACTACGACTCGGCCATTCCGCGCGCGGCGCGCGCAAAGAAATTATGCTCGCGAAAAACCCAACCATACGCAAGTGCGAGAACCGCAAGGCAGGGGGAACGAAGCAACAGGAATTCCCAATGGGGCCTCGAACCGTATGAGGGGTGCGCCAAAATGGGGCGGGGCCGCCATGCGAACCCTGCCACTGGGGCCTTCGGCGGAGCTCCCTATGGGGCCACGAACCGTGTGAGGGGTGGGCCAAAATGGTGCGGGGCCGCCATGCGAACCCTGCCACTGGGGTCTTCGGTGGAGCTGCTTGTGGGGCCACGAACCGTGTGAGGGGTGCGCCAAAATGGGGCGGCGCCGCCATGCAAACCCTGCCACTGGGGCCTTCGGTGGAGCTGTTTGTGGGGCCACGAACCGTGTGAGGGGTGGGCCAAAATGGCGCGGGGCCGCCATGCGAACCCTGCCATTGGCGCCTTCGGTGGAGCTCCCTGTGGGGTCACGAACCGTGTTAGGGGTGCGCCAAAATGGAGCGGGGCCGCCATGCGAACCCTGCCACTGGGGCCTTCCGTGGAGCTCCCTATGGGGCCACGAACCGTGTGAGTGGTGCGCCAAAATGGCGCGGGGCCGCCATGCAAACCCTGCCACTGGGACCTTCGGTGGAGCTCCCTATGGGGCCACGAACCGTGTGAGGGGTGGGCCAAAATGGTGCGGGGCCGCCATGCGAACCCTGCCACTGGGGTCTTCGGTGGAGCTGCTTGTGGGGCCACGAACCGTGTGAGTGGTGCGCCAAAATGGCGCGGGGCCGCCATGCAAACCCTGCCACTGGGACCTTCGGTGGAGCTCCCTATGGGGCCACGAACCGTGTAAGGGGGGCGCCAAAATGGCGCGGGGCCGCCATGCAAACCCTGCCACTGGGGCCTTCCGTGGAGCTCCCTGTGGGGCCACGAAACGCTGCACTGGGCGGGTGAAACGTAGGGAGGGAAGAGGAGGGGGGAAGGGGCAGCGGGAGGAGGAGGAGGTGGCGCGGGGACTGTCTCTACAAAACGAGGACCCAACACCACAGGATGGTTGGGAAAAAGAAAAAGAACAAAAACAAAAAAGGGGCATGCATCGCAAAGTGAAAAATGTGTAATGGTAAATGCGCTAAACAACCTATAAGTATGCACTTGACGAGTTGCGCTGTCCGTGTGTTTCATTCGAAACGCGGAAGAGAAACAAGCTATACACACATACATACATACATACATGCATGCATGCATGCATACATACATACATACTTACATACATGCATGCATGCATACATACATAAATACATACATGCATGCATGCATGCATGCATACATACATACATACATGCATGCATGCATGCATGCATGCATGCATGCATGTATACATACATACATACATACATACATACATACATACATACATACATACATACATACATACATACATGCATGCATGCATACATACATACATGCATACACACACATACACACATACATACATAAACACAGGCATATACATCGATATATAAGTACACACAAATATCTCAAAACACAGGCGCGCCAGGACACGCCACTCTACGCGAAGCGCGTCCCGCGTGTGATGTTTCACACTAAGCCTGCCACCGCCCGATCGTTAAGCGGGGTCCCTGGGCAACGGGAAGCGCGTCCTGCATATGAGCATAGGCGTACACACAGGGATGCGAGCAGCTGCAGCAGTCCACACTGGGATATGTGAACCCGCCCGCGTCCCTACTGCATATGTGAACCCGCCCGCGCCCAATCGCCAAGTAGTTCCGTCAGACATCGAAAACCTGCCGCCCCGAGCGGACTTCCACAGCGAGCCCGCCCCCGCCCACTAACGGGTTGCGTCCGACATCGACGGACGGGCCCTGGGCCCCAGGCCCCGAACGCCGCCGTCTCTGCCAGGAACGGCGGACGACGACGACGACGACGACGACCACGGAGACGACGACGACGACGACGACCACGACGACGGCGACGACGACGGCGACGACGAGAACGACGACCACGACGACCACGACGCGTGCCCCTGTGGGACTTGCGCGCAACCTGTGGGGCCTGCGAGACATGCGGGACCTGGGCGGCTGGCGGGATCGGTGGGTTGCGCGGGACCTGCGCGACCTCTGCGACCTGCGAGACTTGTGGGAGCTGCGGGGCCTGCAAGACCTGTGGGACCTGTGCGAAACGTCGGCCGCGCTAGGACCTGCGGGAGACCTGCGGGCCTTGCGGGGCCTG